CCCAACACTTGGGCCAGGTGGCTGGGCTGGTCCCAGGGGATGTTTATGACAGAGCAGAGCTCCAGATGCTGCACATTCTTCATAGGGTCAGACCTGCCCCCAGGCACTCAGGGAATTAGCTTTTCTGAAGAGCCCGAGATCAAGATCTTCTTTCCGGAGCTGCCTTCTTCCTGGCCAGCCCTGGAGGCTGGTTGGTTCAAGAGCACTCTCTGGGCTCTGATAGCCTTGGGTGAGGCTAAAAGGCTGCGTGGATTCCCTATTGGAGAGGTAATTCTGGTCATGGAGAGGTAGAAGTGGGGACCCTTGCATCTTCCTAGGTCTACAAGTCCAGCTCAAGGGGCATCTGGGAACAGGGGTTCTGCCAGGCCAACCGTGGGCCGCATTTGGCGGGAAATGGATCTGCCTTCACCTGCAGCACTGTGGGGGGCCGGGGTGTGATGGAAAAAGCTGGGAGTGGGGCGTCCTCGGGTGGGGATGGGGGGTGAGAGGCCAGGGGAGGGGGCGCCCAGGAGCGCCCTGACCTCGCCGGCTGCTGGGAGGCGGAGGGAATGGGGGTTGGGGGAGAAGAGGGGAGCCTGGCAGCCAATGAGAGGGAGGATCTCGTTTCAAAAGGGTTAACACACAGCCAATGGGAGCCTGGGGGAGCGGATCCTGCTCACTCCATTCAAGAATCCCAAGTATTCAAGATGGACGGCAGGGAGTGTGGAAGGAGAAAGGGGGCGAGGGGGGAAGAGCCAGATCGGCCGTGGAGAGGGCGCAGCGACCGGCCGGCCCGGGCCCTCGGCCCCGGGGGACGGGTGGCGGCGCGGCCACGGGGATCGGAGCTGGCCGAGGAGCGGGGCTGTCGGGGCGAGAGGGCGAGAGAGGGGGAGCGCGGCCGGGGAGGGAAGCCAAGAGGGAGGGTAGGGCAGAGAAAGAGCCCGGGAAGAAGGAGGTGGCAGGCAGACGAACCTAACGAAGAGCCATGTGTAGGTATCGGGAGCTCCCAGAAGGGTAACGCCGCCGATTTTCGGTTTTCTTCTCTGTCCGGGAGGGGAGGGGGTGGTCTGGGCTCTTTCTCTGCCCTTCTTTCTCCCCTCCTCGTTCTCCTCCGTTCGTGATCTCTGCCTTTTCCTTTCCAAACAACTCTGACTGGGAAGCGCCAGGCATGTCTTGCAGGGGCAGCCTCACTGTCATTTTCCAGTGGGGGGTGTGGTGGGGTGGGAGGCGTGGGGGCTCCGCCGGGCAGGGCTGCGGCGGGCCATCTGTCGGTGCCCGGGTGGGTGCGAGGGTGTGTACGGGTGTGGGGCCTGGCGGACGTGTTCGGAGGGAACGCTGTGGCCGAAGGGCTGGAGCAGGGCAGGGAGTTCTGCATCTTGAGAAGTTGGGCTGAGCTCAGTGCTGTGTGTGTGGGTGAGGCCCGCCCCTGAGCCAAGAGTTGTGGGGTGTTAAGGGGTGCGGGAGGTGGGGAGCTGTATGCTCACACTCCAGGGCTTGCTGTTTGGGGTAAGTGTGTAGTAAGGGCTGAGTTGTGCAGCAACTGTAGCCGAGAGTTGTGTGTGCACGCGTGTGGTCCAGCCTCGAGGTGTGTGTGTGGGGGGGTCACAGTAGGGTGTTGAGGGATAGCGCCCATCCCCCCCATCCCCCCTACCCCTCTCATCCCATTCACAGAACATGGCTTTCAGGACCCTCCTGGTCTCCTCCTCCTGTCGCCATGGCTGCGGAAAGGGGGTGGGAGGAGACAGTTGGGGCCAGCCGCTGCCCCTGCTGCTCTAGCTAACCCTCCACCGGCCCTTTCTCTCCCTTCCACAGGCTGGGCCCCATCCCCTGCTGCTCTGGGGGGCAGGGGCCGGAAGATGGTGGCCAATGAGGAGGGGGAGTAGAGAGAACTTGAGCCGGGCCTCCCCTCCCCCATTTCCTCCTCGGTCTCTACACCCGCCTCTGGAAGGAGCTGGGGGATGGCTCCTGGGCCCATGGTGGGGGAGGGGCCCTGCTGGCTGGTGAATCGCAGGGAATCCCGCTCTGGAATGAGTTGGGTGTGAGACCTGACGGTATCTTGGTCCCAGCCCCCTGACTCTTCTCTCCCCAAGGAGAGATCTGGGCACTCCTTGGTGAAGAATCTTCCTCTAGCTTCCCTAAAGCTGGCTGGGCAGTCCTGTCTTTGCCCCTCTGCCCTCTGTTGACATGATCCAGTTCCCAGCTGGGACTGGTTTGCCCAACCCAGCAGCAGAGGCCTGGTAACTGACCCTAGCAGGGCCCTAGTTTCCGTCCATTAGAACTGTGCAAACTACGGGACAAGGCCCCATGTTTGCAGATTACAGGAACAAAGTAGCCTAGGAGGGTGGGAAAGAACCTCTCCTGCTTCCTGAGGGGGGTGGGAGAAGGCTGGAGGGGAAGCCCAGAGGAAGAGCTCCCAACTGGAATTCTGCCCTCCATTCCTCCTGTTGTCTGTGGATTGGGGAGGAGGGCATCAGCATTGACTGGAGGCCTTCACTGATCAGTACACCCAAGGAATTGCCCCACAGTCTCTGCACCTCTGGGCTGGCCACTGTTCACCAGGTCAGAACTGGAGCTGGGCTTCTGGGGCCACAGCTGTAGCCAGGAGTGTGTCTTGCTAGAACTCGGACATTTTGGCTATCCAGCTGCCCCTCCAGGGAAGTCTTCTGGCTTTGGGTTTTTAGTTAAGTCTCAGGATTGTTTATCCAGAGTTTAAGCCCCCTCCACTAGGGTAGAATGGGGAAGTTCTGAGTGAGCTTGAAAACTTCCTAATGGGAGTCCTGGATATAACAGGAAACAATTTAGATTCTAATCCCACTGCCAGTGAAAGTCTATCCCTACCACTCAGTATAAGAGAGGGAATCACCCTCACCATTTTGTTTCATGCTGAATCCATAAAGTGGATTTGAAGGCCTCAGAGGAGATGCAGGGGTGTGGTGTCACTCGCGGAGTCCACCTCCAGACCTGGAAGCTTCTCTGTGCTGTCTGGGGACCTGTGACTATAGTCCCTCACCCTCTGGTCCTGGATCTTCAGCCAAGGTGTCCTCTTGAGGCCTAGCACTCCCTTTATCTAAACTTGAAAGGAGAAAGAGCTTTAGAGTGGGGAAGAATAGAGGGCTGGTGGTCCCGGTTGGCTAGCTCCTCTCCAGAAGGGAAGCTGGCAGAGATACAAACCCAGGTAATGCGAGTGTCCCCCAAACTTCTGGAATCGCCACCAGTCACTTCCTTTGAAGACAGTGCCAAGCTCAAGACATCCCTTCAGAGGCTTCCATGGACCCTGTTCCCTATCCCAAAACTCAAGAAAAAGGTGGTCACAGTGCTGGGAAGGGTGCGAGGAAGAAGGAAAGGAGGAGTAGACAGAAAATAGAAGAGTAACACAGAACAGAAGGGAGGAAAGCTACACTGAAGATGAGAAGGGGCAGAGGGAGGCTGAGTGGGCCAGGGACTGGGAGAGGGGTGAGGAGGCAGGGCCGGCACGCCTCTGCTGCAGGCCGGAGCTCTTTTCACATTGTGCTACTGTCTGCACCTACCACTAGCAGTGCAATGTTAAAAGGGCATTGGCTGTGCAGTGCTACCAGCGCCGGCTGCCTCCTCAGTGTCAAGACTTCCTCTCCCATCTGGGCGCCAATCAGCTACCCTGGTGGGAATGTGGGAAGCCTTACTATCAGACGAATAGCTCACATTTTTGGAAGCACTTCTGCATGCAGCCTGTGTGCTAGACACTTCTCATGTTATCATGCACACTAATGACTTCTTGGCACATCACAACCCCATTTCACAGATGGAATAACTGAGCCAGAAGGTTTAAGCAGTATGGCCAAGGTTTTATAACTCTTAAATGGCAGAGCCTGGATATAACCCTAAATCTGACAGTTCACCCATCTTTTTGCAGACCTATCTGAAGAGGTTTAGGTAGGTTCTCAAATGAGCTGAGGGGTGGAAGGATGTGATGCCATCTGCTGGTTGTATGAGAGTATCTTCCAAAATCTCAAGCCTTTCAGGATAAAAGTGGTGACTTGTTGGCTAAGGAAGGTCTCAGATTTGGCTTGGGATTGGAGGGTGGTGAGTGGAGAAGATTGGGAGAATCCCTGTTATGACCTGAGTAGACCTCCATGAGAAAAAAGGGATGCACAGGAAAGAAAAAAGGGCTAGCTTGAGAACACTGCTCCCCAGAGGTGAGGACATTGGTGTCCCTGGCATTCCATACCTGTGGCTCCTTCCCTGACTCTTGGGGTGGAGAAAGGAGACCTCATCTCCTCCTGTAATTCCCAGCATGACCCTTCTTGGCCACAGGTGTTTGATAATGATGCTTCTTGAGGGTACACCTGTCTGGGAATCCAAGATTTGAAGCGCAGTGCCCACAGCCTGATCTTAGAGACTAAATAGCCTGAGCCAAGTCCACCGAATTCTTCCAGGAGAGGTTACAGGAACTTGAGATCAACAACTATGCCATTTACTCCTTTGTTTCCCACAGTACCTAAATGGCTTAGTCAGAACTTCTTAAAGTACAGTGAGAGACAGACATATTTGGGGAGCCTTAAGAAGGCAGCTAGTTGGTTCCTGATTTTTAAGGTCAGAGCTTGGAACTTCAGAAAACTGAACTTTGCTGCAAGAAATGGGACCGAGAAGAGCAGGGTTCTGGGTCTCTTGCTAGAGCTTGAGGATCTCTAGGCATCACCAGGCATGCAGAAACTGAATGGTGGGACAGACCTCCCCCCTCAAGACCTCTCAGATGAGAGTACATTTGTTTTGCACTTGTCTTCCAGTTTCTTCTGTTCTTCTGCTCAAGACAGCTCCATTCTAAAGTTGACAGTATTTGAGATGCTACACAGTTTATGTCCCATACTTTCTTCAGTCTTAACATTTCTATTTGAGTCGCTGGACAACAAACAAGCATTTGATGATGCCACACCACTCTTGTTAAAAAAAACAAGAACTTTCAGTGTTTCCCCAGTTCCCTTGGGATAAAAGGAGATTCTCTAAATGGTCTATGGCCACTGCCCATCTTTCCTGTCATCTCATCTCTCACCCATTTGCACTTATACTGCAGATATAGGAAACATATTTCCTCCTCAACTAAGTTTGAGCCACTTGCCACAGTTCTTTACCTGAAATATTCCCCCTCCTTCCGTTCTTCCCTTTGCCCTCCTAACTTCTCATCCTTCAAGTGCCATCACAGTCATCACTTCTGCTAAGCCTACTTTGACTCCTCAGATCCTTCAAGTTCCCAAGCTTACTCCCCATCTGTTCAGATCCCATCACCTCCTACTGGAATTGCCTGGTTACTGTTTGTCCTCCCACTGGACCGCCATGAAGTCAGACCATGCTGCCTTGTTCTTCATGGCATCCCCAGTTAACACCAAACCTGGCAGGTAATAGCTGCTCTGCAAATATTTGCAATATCAGTGAAAATCTGGAAATCACAAGCTAGCTTACAAAAAATGGTTTTTATGGTGTGTGTATGGTCCTTGCTGCAGTTGTCAGCGACCCAACAACAATAGCAATTTCTCATCACTGCCAAAAATTGCGCTTGGGTCACATGGTTGCATTGATGCTGCAATTTTGGGCTGTTTTGTTCCACTTTGTATCAACTGCCAGGGCAGCACCTTGGCTGATCAATTTTCCTTTTAGCCTTAAGCATGGCTGTGAGCTGACCAAAAACATGACAGAATCAGGTGCAAAGGCAATGGGACCCAAGAACACCCTAGTTCTGAGATGAGCTTCTTCCGGATTTCCAGTCATGGATTCAAGCAGAAATTGATTCATTGTCAAGGATTCCAGTAGACTCAAACTGTTCTTCAGATGGAATACCTCTCACAAAAGCCATGCCTCTTACTAAGCAAAACCTCACCTGAATATCCCTCCCTTAGTAAAAGCTCCAGCAGACAAAGCAATTGCTGCCCCCTAGTGGCATAAAGGAACAGGTGGTGGGGAGGTGACTAGAGTACTTACACAGTGAAAGAAAGTCAGAGGACAGCACCTCACAGCTGCTTTTCCCCTTTTTATTAAAAATAAACCCAAACACTATGTATCTTACAAAAGTTTCATTCGCTGGTGGCAGCCACGAGAAAGCCTGGCCCCGTAGCGCTGATTTCCCACCTCCCTTCCAAGGGACTGGGTCCCAGGGAGCAGTGGCTGGGCCTTGGGGAATGCCCACAGAGACCGCTGGCCCTGGAAATAGCCAGCTGGGGTGGGGGCTGATCCAGGGGCAGCTTTCCTCACCCCACCCAGTGGCAAAGGTTAGATACTGGAAAGTGCCTCTTTAGTGCCAAGATAAACAAGTGGAGTGAAATGGAAACCCCTGTGATTCCTTTATTTCCCAGGGCCTGGGATTTGAGATTTTTCTTTCCACCCTCAGAAACTGGTGTCTCCCCATGTAGGAGGCCAAAATTTCACCCTGACCAAAGCCTTTTTTCTGATATTCTGTGGCCCAGGATATACCAACCCCCTGACTCAAGCTTTGTCCTCTGTTCACTTGAAACGGTGGCGCAAAACGGATCCCTCTTATGGTCCTCTCTGCCTGAGTGCATGCCCTGCCGTCACCTCCATTTACAGGGCCTTGGGGCTGGGAGGGCCCACAACCACCCTTTCCCCCAGTTCTGCCTCTCCCTGACTGCTGCCCACTCCTGAGCCTTGAACACCCCTGGGGTACCCCAGACCCCTGTTCTGAAGAGGCCTGGGAGTGATGAGGTGGAGGCGGGAGGGGTTGGTGGGAGCCGGGATCCCCCCAGGGGTGGAGCAGTACTCATGCTGGTATGGACTGCTTGGCGGGGCCAGGAGACAGGTGTGGGAGGGTGGGGCATGCGGAGGAAGGGCACTGCCTGCCTGAGCCCCTCAGTCCCAGCCGTTGTCCTTCACCATGTGTGACATTTCAATGATGTATTTCCCTTCCTTATACTTCTGGCTCGTCTCAAAGGCTTGCTCCTAGTGGAGAGGAAGTGGTGAATGTGGGACCAAGCAGTCCCCTCCAGGCCCTCCTGTATTGCCCCTGCCCTGACAGACCCCCCCACCCAGTCCACCCCATTGGGGCTTGGAGGGCCATGGAGACTATCCATTTTGGAGGGTGTCTCCCCATACTTACATATTTCCAGCCCAATGTGGTTTTGCAGCTCTCGCAGAAAATATCAGCTACCGAGTGGAGCCCCGTGAGCAGAAGGCGCTGTTCTGCTGGCCCACAGCCCACGTTGACCCTGTCTCACAAAACAGGAAGGACCGGTACCCAATGGGGTCAGTCTGTCAGTCTAGCTCCCAAACAGCCCAAAGAAACTTCCATCTGGAGAGCTTAACCCACCCCACTGGGAGCCCCGGCCTTCAGCAACCCACCCCTTTATGACTAGTGCCTGGGACTTCCTCCAAGGTGGGATTCCAGTTCTGCCCAGACTCCCCTCGAGACAACTGCAGTCTAAGTTTCTAAACCTCTTTGCAAGAGAGGAGGCAAAGCAGAGGTGAAAGGCCTCTTGATGGCTCACCCCCTTTCTCCACAGAGGAAAATCATGCACACACGCACAAGGAGAGAGATGGACTCACACGGAGTTAAACAGGTAGGCTCGGCCATGGCTCCCTTGGAAGGACTGTGGAGACAAAGGACAGACAGTGACTACTGGGTGGCCCTCGGCCCCACTACCCGAATCCTCAGGTGCACAGAGCGGGTAGGGCAGGCCGCCTTGCCTCACCCAGGTGAGTTTGAGCCTGGTGGGGAGAGGAGGGCACTGGCAGGCCCCCACGTGGCGTACCTTGGAAATAAGCTCGTCATGTTTGGCGAGGTGTGCGCGGCAGTGGACGCAGCTGTAGGTGCGGTGGCAGCGGGGCAGGTAGCTACGGAACGTCTTGGTGGGGAGGCAGGCAGGGCCAGGGCCAGGGTCACAGCTGGGCATGACGGGCTGGAGGACGATGCCCTGGCGGGCTGGAGGGGCCGGCGCCGTGCAACCCCCGCACAGGCGGTCGCAGGTGAAGCAGCGGAGCAGGTTGGCAAGAGCCGTGTTTCAGGGCAGGAGAAATGTGGGGGGGCTGCCCGGCCAGGGCCCCCCCCAGACGCGAACCAGGTAGAAATGGAAGTCACCTGGGAAGAGGGGAAGGTGCATCAGGAGAGCCGTGACCTCGTGCGGGGCCCCTCCCGAGGGAATGGAGAACACAGTGCTCATCTCCCCCCTGCCCTACGTGCCCTGAGTCACTGAGCTTCCCTGTTCCCTGGATCCCCGTCTACTCTGGCAAGTCTGGCAGCAGTTCTAGGCCTCAGGTGCCCTAGCCGGGGAGGCGGTGTCTCTCCCAAGCCCCGGGGGCGGGAGCAGCCTCCACCATTTCCACTGGGAGCAGCCCGCGGGCTCCGCGCTGCCATGGGAGCGATGTCATCCGCCAGCGCTCTGTCCTTGATTTCTTCGGTGAGGACCTGCCTCCCACATGCTCTGATAGGCTCGGGGACTCAAAGCCTCTTGGAAGTTGGGGATGCCTGGCAGTTTCTCTATTTCATGGCCTCTATTCGCAATACAATTGGTTCTTCATACATTTTGTGTGGGAGGAGGGTGGATGAGAGGGAGGGAGAGCAGGCAGGCAGGTGCACACACCCTGCTTCAGCCCTCTGGGAGCCTGTTCCCTGGGAACTAGAACTTCTTGGATGCCTCCTTCTGCGCCAAAGACCTCAGAAGTGGCCGGTGTTGCCGGATTCTGCCTCTTGGTCCATTTATTTTGGCCTAGAAGCAATGCCTGGCTGTCTTCTCAGTCTCTGAGCTCCTTGGTTTCTTTCTCCTGCTCTTCACTGTTGGCTTAGCCCTCCGGTAAGGACGCAGGCCCCAGCTGTAGGGGAGAAGCTCTCCTTCGGGCAAGTCTGACTGCTGGAGGCAATGGGAAATGGGGCCTGCGGCAGGCCTCTTGGGCTGAGCAGGGCTGGGTGGTGCAGTGAGGGTGCCGGCAACCTCTTCCATGGGCAGCAAAAGGGAGACTCACATTTTCAAAAGCTGTGCTTTGGGGCACAAGGCAGAGATGTTTCCACCTCCTCCCAGGGGCAGGGACAAACAGCAGTGCCCCTGTGGGTGGCAGAAGATAAAATAATTGCTGGGTTCTGATTAGGAGTCTTGAGGAAGATGTTGACATCTGTCCAAACTCCAGCCCCCAGCTGGCTGAGGGTTCTGGAGGCAAAGGATAGGAAGGGAGGTGGCCTCTGTCGGCTCTGATAAGCAGGTGAGGTGATGTCTTCTCCTTCATGGGGCCTTCAGGCCCATTGTGGGTGATTTGGCCCAAGTCTGGTTTAGAGGTGCCAGCTGGGTGCTCTGGCAATGACAGGCCATGAAGCAGAGCAGAGGCAGTGTGGCTCCAGGTAGTCAGGGCAAACAGGCTGTCATCCTGTCCTCAGTGGTGGTCGCTAGCGCCCTGCTGTTCCAGTCCTTCCTGAGGCCACAGGGCAGTGTCTCCATAAAACCTTCAACAGAGACCATCTTCAGTTTCAGGTCCTGTCCCCCTGGCTGGGCCCCATGAAGACACCTTGGGCTGAGTTCAGGGTGACATTGGGCTCTGGTCGCAGAAATTGGGCCCTCCTCACCAGCACAAACTAGTCAGCATCCACTTCACAGGTCTGCCTCCAACTTTGTCTGCGTGCTCCTCTGCCGCTCCACCGAGCACACCTTCTTCAAGGGCCCGGGAGGGGGCCGGCCAGGTCCCTGCTCGGCTTCCTTCCCCAGCCTCCGTCTCGCCTCCCACCCCTTCTCTCCCCTGTTTCCCCGTCAAACCAACCAGAGGCTGCACAGAAGGCCAAAGAATCACTCACAGGAGGGGCAGCAGGGGTCATTTCTTCCCCATCTCAGATCACAGGGAGAAGCAAGTTGGGCGAATGACAGGGAAAAACAAAGGCAAGCTGAGTGCTGGGGAGAGGATGTTCCCCAAGTGAGCTAGAGCTGGACGGTGGGAGGCAGGGGAGAGGGAGGGGTGGGGGTGGGGGCTGCTGAGCAACCGTGCCGACAGCAGAGGCCCCAAGGCAGAAGCTCCAGGAACCAGGTGCGAATCCCGTGCCTCTAACGAAAACAAAAAACAAAAACGGAGGGGCCACCTGCTCACAATGGATTTTCTCATCTGCTCTGAGGCTTCGGTCCCCTCTGGGCTGGCATTCTCGGCATGGTATGGTCCAAAATCATTAGCAGGGCAGCCAGTTCCCAGGGCGGGCTTTGGGGGGTCTGCACCAGCCACAAAACAATAAACAGTGATGCCTGATGCTGCAGCCAAAGTTGCCAAGAAATAAGTGCGGAACGGTCAGAGCTTGGAGAGGGATGGAGGAGCTGAGAGAGGAGCGGAGGCAGCAGGGAGGGGGAAGGGAGGACAAAGGGTGGATGAATAATGCTTTTGCAAAGGGGAGAAAGCAACACGCAGCAGAAGGAGGAAATTTGCAAAGGGAAAAAAATTCGTTTGGAGAAGGGCTGCCCCCTCACCTTGAGGTCTGCTCCAGAGATCTCCGTCTATCTCTCTCTCTCTCTCAATCTCTCTGCTCACTCTTCTCTCTTCTCTTTCCGCTCCTTCAATTGGGAAAGGGGATGGGGCGAGGGAGGGGAGTTAGGGGCTCAAGACTGGGGCTGCAAAGGTGGCCAGCTGCTGGGGGGCCAGAGGTTGTCTCTCGTCTGTACCTCGGTCTGTGGGTGAATGTAGCTGTGTGTTGTGGAACTGCATCATAACACTGTGAGTCATCCATCCCCCCACCCCCCTCATCTCTCACGTCAGAGCAGGGCTGGGAGACACAGGAGGCGGGTCAGGAGGGAGGGAGGGGGCAGGCATCGAGGGATGGGGCTGGGGGAGTGAGGCAGGGGTGGGAACAGGACAGGGAGGGGTGCAAAAGAGGAAAGGCTGGTTGCTGAGGAGGAAGGCAGTGTGGCCAAGGAGATAGAGCCTGGGGGAAGGACAGGGCTGGGCAAGGCTGGAGGAAAGGGGGTGGCGAGGCAGGGGACCGTGAGAGATGGATGCAGAGAGTCAGGCCGTGCATGCACATTCAAGATGATACATTTCCCAGTTCAGCTTGGACCCCAGCCTGACGCAAAGAAAAGAAAGACATACTAATTGTCACTTACAGCAAATCGTACCCCCAAGCTTGTACCAGGCACTTCCAAGCCTCAAAGCCTCAGTTTAATACCCCTGAAGGAGTCACAGACCAAATATGACATCTCACATGCAGGAACCTCTTAACTGCCTCCCAATTCCTTGTGCTTCATGAATGGAGACACCCACATTACATAAGGCTCCCTACTGGGCGGTAGACTTCTGAAGCAAGTCCTTTGGGCAACTCCTCTCTGCGTCCCAGGACTGCGATGCTTAGCACAGAGCTGACGCTCCCAAGTCTTCAGCTGTGTCCGTGTCTGGCTTTGGTCTCCAAGAGACTGAGATGGAATCTCAGATCTGCCAATATAGTCACCAGCAACCACTGGGCAAGTTACTGATGCTCTGCTCTTTACCTCATGGAGATGTGAAATAAGGTGCCTGGCAGCTAATAGGCACTTAGTAAACAGTAGTTGCTCTTATTTCAAAACACTGTTCTCAACTTAATACCCTGAAACCCAAAGAGGGTTTACTATAAAAAATTCGGATAGCTCAAGAGACGTGCTAAATTTGTGTCTTATTAAGAACTTATATTGTTTGGTGCTATTTTTCTATCAGAATCTAGTTATATTTCACTTTGACTCAGACTGCCTCTCATGGAGTGCTGCCCTGTGCACATCACTCAAGTATGTGGTCACAGAACACATCCTCTCAGATAAAAACCCCTGATTTCTAGGGGGTGATAAAGGTAGGGACTTAAAGAAGGGACTGTTTGTGGGTGTTCTTTTTTTTTCTTTTCACATGTAAGGAGGGGAAAACGTTAAAGTAGGAAAATGGAATGGGAGGCATTGCTAGCTGGGTATGAAGAAAGAAATTCCGAAAGATTCTGGGGCTTAAGGTAAATTCTGAAAACACAATGTGGGTACCTTGAGTGATATACCAGAAGTTTGACATTGAGAGGGAGAACTCAGTAAACAAAAAAGAGGGACAAAAAAAAAAAAAGAAGAGGGAAGTGTTCTTGTCTGGGCAGCAGAGGAGAAAGAAAATGTAAATGCAGGAGGAATGTGTAGAACCGTTTTTTGAGGAAAACAGTGGGAAGTGGGGGGAAAATGGCGAGTTGTTTTTGGGGCAAGGATCGAAAGTTGAAAGGAAAAAAAGGTTATCAATTTAACTCTGGAAGATAATCATCAAGGATTAAGCTGGGCTCAGCTGGTGTGGCTCAGTGGTTGAGTGTCCACCCATGCACCAAGAGGTCACAAGTTCGATTCCCAGTCAGGGCACATGCCCAGTGGGGGGCATGCAGGAGGCAGCCAGTCATGTTCTGTCATGGATGCTCCCCACCCCGTCCTGTCTCTCTAAAATCAATAAAGAAAAATTAAAAAAAAAAAAAGAAAAAAGGATTTAGCTGGAGAGGAGATTGAAAAAGCCCAAGAGGACAGTGTTATTTGGGGCAGGGGTGGGGATGGGGGGTGGAGATGAAAGGAGGGCTTTGCGAAAGTGAGAAAAGAGAGGTAGGTAAGCACAGATGCTTTAAATGTTGTGCCTCAACTCTCTGTGTTTAAGAAAAAGAATAGAGGGCAGTCTAAAGAGGGTGGGGTGGGTTCATCTCCCTAAAGTCAGCTTGAGATAACGATACAATATCCAAATAAAGATGAACTTCAGCCCTGGCCAGTTTGGCTCAGCGGTTGGAGCATTGGCCTGTGGACCAGAGAGTCCCGGGTTCGGTTCCTGCTAGAGGCGTGTACCAAAAAAAAAAGATGATCTTCAGATAATTGAGAGAAATTGCCTCAAGGGAGAGAGTGTGGAGGTGAAGAAACAGATCTAGGAGACAGACTACATGGAAACAGGAGAGGATGAGCACACTTGGAGAGAATATTTGCAAATGGAAGACTCTAATTGAATTTTTGAAGAATGGTGAAAGATTAGGGGATACCTAATAGTTCACTGAAGAACTAATGCATGTCCCACTTCTAGGAATATACCCTAAGAAGCCTGAAACACCAATCAGAAAGAATATATGTACCCCCATGTTTGTAGCAGCACTATTTACAATAGCTAAGATCTGGAAACAGCCCAAGTGTCCATCAGTAGACGAGTGGATAAAAAAGCTGTGGTACATATACACAATGGAGTACTATGCAGCTGTAAGAAAGAAAGATCTCTTATCCTTTGAGACTACATGGAGGGACCTGGAAAGTATTATCCTAAGTGAAACAAACCAAACAGAGAAAGACAAGTATCATATGATCTGACTTATTTGTGGAATATAATGAACATAACAGTCTGAGGAATGGGGTAGTCCCAGAGATGTGGAAGTGGGGTACAGACTGACAATCCCCAGAAGGGGGGGGGAGATAAACCACAGAACTTATATGCATGTATGCATGAACAATGGACATGGACAACAAAGCTGGGGACAGGGCAGGGAGGGAGGGGAAGGAGGGAATCAGTGGGGAAAAAAGGAGAAACATCTGTAACAAAAATTAATTAATAAAAAAATTTTTTTAAAAAGAACTAATGCATGTATAGTGAATGAATGAAATAATTAAAGCAAACCATAAGAAAAAAAAAAAACATAAGTGAGAAGTGAGGATGGCACTCTTAGAAAATGAGTGCTAAAGTAGGGCCAGCAGGAAAAAGGCAACCGGGAAAATCTGCCCAGGTTTCTCAATCTAAATTAACCGTGGGAGCTGGACTGAAAAAAGTCCTCATCGGTAGTGAGGATGACAACGACAGTATATACTTGTGAGGATTAAATGAATTTACAGCTGTGAAGCCCAGGGGACAGTACCTGGTACTGCATATGTGTTTGCTGTTATTATAACAGATAACTGGACTCAGACTCCAAAATCCTGGGTTTGAGTCTTAGGTTGGGCACCCCTACACCTATCTCTCCTGGAGATAATAAAACTGACTTTACAGAGGGGCCGTGAAAAGGATACCTGAAATGGCTTTGAAAAATGTAAACCATTGTACAAATGGATGGCATTATTATAGCTTCCCCTCCTCAAACTGTAATAAAAACTTAAAAGCTAACATCAGATGCTTTCATGTTACAGGCCTCATGCTTAGTACTTAATGTGTATCATCCCATTCAATCTTCAAAACGACTTTAAGAGGTTGGGTACTGTTATTACCTCTACTTTACAGACAAGAAACTAGGTCTCAGAGAGTGTAAGCCTGTCATTTGCTCAAAGTCACAGTGAGCAAGTGGCATAGCAAAGAATACATGGTTCCAAAGCCCAAGCTGGTGACCAGGGGCTTATAGGAGTGGCCCTACCTGCTGCCTGCAGGGTAAAGGGCTGACCTTGTGTAACTGTCAGGGATTCAAGGAGGGAAACAGTCCCAAATAAAACTCCTGCTCAATAGGAGAGAGGTTGTTGGTTAATGACTGGCTGACTTACAGGATTCCTTATAGAGGAAATTCTTGGATTTTCATTCTTTTATTTAAAAAGTTTTTAGCCCGGTGGTGTGATTGAGCGTGGACCCATGCACCAAGAGGTCACCAGTTGCATTCCCAGTCAGGGCACATGCCCAGGTTGTGGGCCCTATTGGGGAGGGGGGGCGTGCAGGAGGCGGCCAAAGGAGGTTCTCTCTCATCGATGTTTCTAGCTCTCTCTTCTTTCTTCCTTCCTCTCTCTCTAAAATCAATAAAAGAAAAAAGAAAAGTTTTTAAAAGCCCTCTGGGTGCCAAGCACGGTGTCAGGTAGGGGATGACAGCCCAGGTGGGCCTCTGACGGGCTGCGTTCCTCCCCTTTCCCTACCGCTCGGTTTCCTCTGGTCCAAAAGGGGTTTTGCTAATTTCCTTCCTGGCTTGTGGTCCAGGTAAATAGAGGCTACCGTGGGACCTAGACAGAGAGTCCACCTCCATTCCCGCCGCCCTTCCCCTTCCCGGGCAGCAGGTAAGCGGGAACAGGGGCGAGTCCGCAACCGCCGCGCTGGGGCAACCCCTGGCCCCTCGGCCGGTCTTGCCCTGCGCGGGGGCGTAACCGCCACTCCTACTGGGTCTAGTCGGCGTGGCGAACAATGACCGTCGCCGTCCCTCCCACTTTTGGCGTCACAATCAAAAACAATCTTTTAACTACAAGTCCCAGAAAGCTGAGCGGCTGCGCGCGCTCACCTGTCACGGTTGTTCCCGCACAACTACATATCCCAAGGGGCATCGCGCGTCCGCCTCTCCTCCACTGCGCAAGTGCGAAACCACCCTTGTTTCCGGCGTGGGTCTGGGCGAGCACGGTGTGGGTGGGCTTAGGTCCTGCCCGGGAGGGCTGCTTGGTTTATCGTTTGTGGGGGGTCTTGGCGGTGCAGGTGAGATCATTCGCTCAGGAAAGCAACCGTCGCCTCCTTGGGACCTGGGCGGATTTCGTGTCTGGGTAAGCTGGGACAAGGGCCCGACCTAGTGCTGCTCCGGTATCGGAAGTAACTTAATTTATTTCTCGGCGTTTTCTAGTTTACGAAGTGATGATGTTTCCCTCCAACAATCTTTGCTAGTCCGCAGAACAACACTTTGTGTGAGGAAATGTAAGTGCCTCCAGCTGACAGCTGAGGAAGAGGTTCAGAGAGGTTAAGTGATTTGTCTGAAGACACTAGTAGTTGCGGAGCGAGGCTTTGAAATGTTGTTTTCTAAGTCCAAGCTCGATATTCTCTGCTGTGCATCCGGATTGCAGACGTCCTTTCTTGTTGACTAAGAGGGTTGGGGAGTGGCATCTCTTGCCTTGCTCTAGTCTAGAGTATCCCAGTAGAGTGATGAAGGGAGCAATGAGGTGATGTAATCAAGTTTTCTGTGTAGATATAATTTTATTCTAATGTCTCAGTCATTTATTTATTCACTCAGTGTATGTATAGAGGTGCCTGCGGGTTATCAAGTTCCATTCTACGTACTAGAGATACAGTAGCAAACAAAAATGCCCAACCTTGCCCTGGCCAATTTGGCTCAGCGGTTAGAGCGTCCGCCTGCGGTCCAGAGAGACCCAGGTTCGGTTCCCGCTAAGGGCACGTACTTCGGTTGCAGTTTGTCCCTGGCCCTGGTTGGTCGTGAGGGTGGCAGCCACTCGATGTGTCCCTTCATGTTGATGTTTTTCTCTCTCTCCCTTCCTCTCTCTCCCTCCCACTCTATCTGTACAAAAAATGGAAAAATATCCTCGGGTGAGGATTAAAAAAAAAAAATGCCCAACCTTATGAGGTAGACAGATGGTGATCAGAGATGAGAAAAACAAAGCAGGATCGGGGAAACATTCATTGGAGGATTTTTGAGCAGAAAATCCTAACTTGTATTTGTGTTTTAGGCACAGCAGCTACACAGAAAAGATGGGAGAAGAGGCCAGTGATGACAAGAAGCCAACAACTAAATTTGAACTAGAGCGAGAAACAGAACTTCGATTTGAGGTGGAAGCATCTCAGTCAGTTCAGCTGGAGCTGCTGGCTGGCATGGCAGAAATCTTTGGCACAGAGCTGACCCGAAACAAGAAATTCACCTTTGATGCTGGTGCCAAGGTAGCTGTTTTCACTTGGCATGGCTGTTCTCTACAGCTGAGTGGCCGCACCGAGGTGGCTTATGTCTCCAAGGACACCCCTATGTTGCTTTACCTCAATACTCATACAGCTTTGGAGCAGATGCGGAGGCAAGCAGAGAAGGAAGAAGAGCGAGGCCCCCGTGTGATGGTAGTGGGCCCCACTGATGTGGGCAAGTCCACAGTGTGCCGTCTATTGCTCAACTACGCAGTGCGTTTGGGTCGCCGTCCCACTTATGTGGAGCTGGATGTGGGCCAGGGCTCTGTGTCTATCCCTGGTACCATGGGGGCCCTCTACATTGAGCGGCCAGCGGATGTTGAAGAGGGATTCTCCATCCAGGCCCCTCTGGTGTATCATTTTGGCTCCACCACTCCTGGCACCAACATCAAGCTCTATAATAAGGTCAGAGCCATGGTAAGGTGGAGGGTAGGGTTGCTATCAGGGTAGGAAGCTGTGCAGAAGTTTGCTAGTTAATACTGTCTATAGCCATCTCTTTGCTCCCTCTGAACTGGTGTTATTGCCATATTGTTTCAGAAAAGACAGTTTTCAATATAAGTCAACCTCAGATTATTAAATATTTCTGTGGACCTGTTAAGTTATTGAAATTTCCACTTAGGAGACAGAAGCAGCAGCATAAAAATTTCAAAAATCCATGTTATGGGGCCAAAACCACAGCTATTAAAATTTTTTTCCTGTACCTAATAGTACTTATTCTAAAGAGGGACAAAATAGCTATGGGTTTGTTCTTCCTCACCTTCATTGTCTTTTGCAGATTACATCTCGTTTAGCAGATGTGTTCAACCAAAGGTGTGAAGTGAACCGAAGGGCCTCTGTGAGTGGCTGTGTCATTAACACCTGTGGCTGGGTCAAGGGCTCTGGTTACCAGGCCCTGGTGCATGCAGCGTCAGCCTTTGAGGTGGATGTGGTTGTGGTTCTGGATCAAGAACGACTGTACAATGAACTGAAACGGGACCTTCCTCACTTTGTACGCACTGTGCTGCTTCCTAAATCAGGGGGTGTGGTTGAGCGCTCCAAGGACTTCCGTCGGGAATGTAGGGATGAGCGTATCCGTGAGTATTTCTATGGATTCCGGGGCTGTTTTTACCCCCATGCCTTCAATGTCAAATTTTCAGATGTGAAAATCTACAAAGTTGGGGCACCTACCATTCCAGACTCCTGTTTGCCTTTGGGCATGTCTCAGGAGGACAATCAGCTCAAGCTAGTACCTGTCACCCCTGGCCGAGATATGGTGCACCACCTCCTGAGTGTGAGCACTGCTGAGGGCACAGAAGAGAACCTTTCTGAGACCAGTGTGGCCGGCTTCATCGTGGTGACCAGTGTGGACTTGGAGCATCAAGTGTTTACTGTTCTCTCTCCAGCCCCCCGCCCACTGCCTAAGAACTTCCTTCTCATCATGGATATCCGGTTCATGGATCTTAAATAGAGATCTGGAAGCCTTGCTGCCTGGGGCATGGAGATCTGGCCATCACCAAAGGCAGATGGGCTGAAGTTGTGAGAGTCTCTTGAGGCCAGGCTGACCAGTAAATGTTGGACTAGTAAAAAGCATATATTCTACCTCTTAAAACAGGAGGTGGTATCCCAGCTGTTCTAATCTTGAACCAAAAGGAAAACCATGAAACTATAATTATTTTCTTAGATCACCTAAGGTGCCACTTCAAATTCTCTAAGGCCCTGGAGAATCCCATTTTTTTCACTGTGTTACTATATAGACTAATTTTTAGGACATTTTTTAAAATCACTGCTTTATATTCTGTATATAGTACTTGTAATAGCATTTCATTTTTCCAGGATGAAAGAGAATATTAGAAGGACTCCTTAAAATAAAGTTCAAACTTGGGAAAAATTATTCTAATAAATATTTTTGCTATATCACAGAAGTTGGTACAATTAAAAAAATTTTGTTTTCCCCCCTAAGAATTATAGAAACATTATTAGAATGATTTATTGCTAAATGCTTAGCATAGAGGAAAACAAACAGTTCACCTGTAAGCCAAGCAGGTGAATTTTTATGATGGTCCCCTTTCCTCTGCACTTAGGTAAATGGGTGCTAAAACTCTTCTCAGTGCAGGGGTACCTAGGAGGAACCAAAGAGGCTGGTGATAAACTTGGGATGAGATTTCAGTTCTAATAACTTTCCAGAGATAGCTTATTTTCTCCCAGCTGCAACTATTTTTTCTATCGTCTGTTTGCTTGGAATCAGAGCCTAAGTCAAAATGTAAATTGAGCTTTCAGGTGGTAAGAAGCAGGGAAAGCCCATTCTCTGATCTCTTGCAAATGATTGGTGTTCCTAGTTGGACTTGGATATTTGAATAAGTATCGGATGCCCTTCATCTATTCCTTCTTTCCACAAGTATTTATTGAGTACCTACTATTTGCCCTATTTGCCAGGAACCATTCTAGATGGGGAATAAGATAAAGGCTTAATGGAGTTTACATTATAGGTCAAACACAAAAAGTAAGTGTTATTCAGGAAATTAAAATTGGGTGATACTGGACAGTGACTGAGAGACTAGATTGGGTGGTCAGGAAAGCCCTCTCCTGAGTTAAGACCTGAATGGCTGTGTAAAACTTGGCCAAAATCTTCTTGGTGGAGGAAACTACAAAAATGTAAGAAAGGAAAAAGCTCAATGTGTTTGGTGAAGGAAAGGCCTGCTTGGCTGGAATGTAGTGAATCAAGGGGAGCGAGGTAAAAATTGAGTGGGTTGGGAGCAGCAAAGACAAGATAATGTAGGGCTTTTGTAACAGCTTTTGAAACTGAGAGGGTGTATCTTAGTCCCTTCGGGTTGCTATAACAAATATTACAGACTGGGTAGCTTATAAACATCAGAAACCTCACAGTTCTGGAGGTTGGAAAGTCTAAGATCAAGGCACCATCATGGTTGTGTTCTGTTAAAGGCTCCCTTCCAGGTTGCAAACTGCCAACTTCTAGCAGTGTCCTCATGTAGTGGAAGGGGCAAGGGAACTCTATGGGGACTCTCTTCACAACATAAGCACCTCTCAGAGGCCCCACCTCCTAATACTATCATCTTTGGGGGTTAGGATTTCAATATATGAATTTTTTTGGGAAAGACATTCAGACCATAGCAGGTAGTTAAACAGGAATGACATGACCTAATCATTGCTGTATGAAAAATGGTTTAAAGAGGCAAGAGTAGAGAAGCAAGGACACAAGTTAGTTTCAATGTGACAATGGAAGGAATTAAGAGTAGGGCAGAGGTGGAGTTGCTGAGTAGATTGCCTTGGAGAGGACTTGTTGATGGGAGCAAAGAGGAAAAGAAAGTGGAATCAAAGATGATTCCTACATTTTTTACTTGAGCAACTGGACTGGCTATGAGATTGGGGAAGCTCAGGAGAAGGTAAGGGAGAATCATTCTACTTGGGCACTGCTAAGTTTGAGCTATTACTCACCATGTGGACACCACATAACTAGAATCTGGAGGGTTAGGGCTGAAGGTTCATGGGAGCTTTTGGCTAGTAGAAGGCATTTAAAGCAGTGATATTGGCCCTGGCCGGTTTTGCTCAGTGGTTAGCGCGTTGCCTGTGGTCCAGAGAGACCCGGGTTCGGTTCCCGCTAAGGGCATGTACCTTGGTTGTGGTTTGTCCCTGGCCCTGGTTGGTTTGTGTGGGTGGCAGCCACTCAATGTGTCCCTTTCACATCGATGTTTCTCTCTCTCTCCCTCCCACTCCATCTGAACAAAAAATGAAAAAATGTCCTCGGGTGAGGATTTTTTAATAAACAAAAAAATTTTAAAGTAGTGATATTGGATGAAGTCACTTAAAGACTGGAAATCAGGAGAAGTCAGAAGATGGACTTTTAAGGCACTCCAAATGTAAGAGGTGAGGTATAATGGGAACTAACAAAGGAGACTTGACTATGGATCTGGAAGCACGGATGTCAGTATTGACCTTGAAGAGTCTTGTAATGGTGGGGATAAAAGTCCTATTGAGCCCGGTCGCTGTGGCTCAGTAGTTGAGTGTTGACCCATGCACTAAGGGGTCGCCAGTTCGATTCCTGGTCAGAACACGTGGCTGGGTTGTGGGCCCGATCCTCAGTGGGGGGCATGCAGGAGGTGGCCAATCCATGTTCTGTCTCATCGATGTTTCTGTCTCTCCCTTTCCCTTCCTCTCTGTAATAACAAAAAAGGGAAAAAAAAGTCCTATTGAAATATATTGAGATATAAACTGAAGAAGTAGGGATAACAACTATAGACAACTCTTTCAAGAAGCTTGCTAAGGAAGGGAATGATGGTGATATGGAGTCAAGGGAGAGTTGCTAGTTTTTAGATAAACTGCCTCTCAGCATAACAGACTCAAGAGGTAGGAATTTAATGATGGACATGGTATGCTCTTGACACTATCCTGTTTTTTCCTGCATGTTTTTCATTTTTCAAATAAAATGCCAAAAAATTTTCAGAAGATGCCCTGGCCAGTTTGGCTCAGTGGTTGAGCATTGGCCTGTGGACCAGAGACTCCCAGGTTCGGTTCCTGCTAGGGGCACGCATTACCAAAAACAAACAAAAACCCCTCCAAAAACCCAAATGAACAAAAAAACTACTGAACTTTAAAAAAAATTTTTTTTTTCAGAAGAAATTGGAGCAAAGGGGATGGGCACAAGGGGAGAAACTGTCCTTTAACACAGACATTTCATAAGGACAGGAGGAAAGGTGGCAGTGTTTCAACATAAAGAGGTGGTTAGTGCTGAAAGACAGGTCATTCCTCTCTGAGTCTAAACCCAAGGATAACATTGTGTTCCTGTCTGCCTCTTTATTTACCAGTGAGTTGAACTAAAAATGACCCTGTAGTTTGCCATCTATAGGCATAAAGAAATACAAGTGAAGATTTGAAAAAGTGTATGTAAACTACACTAGAAAAACTATAAGGTATATTTTTTTTTGTATGTGCCCCTAGCGGGAACTGAACCTAGGACTCTGGTCTGCAGGACGACACGCCAACCGCTGAGCCAAACCGGCTGAGGCTATAAGGTATTTCTTTTTTTTTGTTTTGTTCAGAGAGAGCGGGAGGGAGAGAGAGGAAGAGAGAGAGAGAGAAACATCGACGTGAAGGGACACATCGAGTAGCTGCCACCCTCACGACCCAACCAGGGCCGGGGACAAACTGCAACCGAGGTACGTGCCCTTAGCGGGAACCGAACCCGGGTCTCTCTGTACCGCAGGCCGACTCTCCAACCGCTGAGCCAAACCGGCCAGGGCTATAAGGTATTTCTTGATATACATAGTAAGTAATTTGAAGTTTGGTGGTTTGAATATCCTATTGTGTTAGCCCAGGTTTTACTGTCCATGACTTCAGAAGTGGCTGGCAGTTTATTTATTTAAAAATTTTTTTTAATCCTCACCTGAGGATATTTTTTTATTTATCTTCAGATAGAGTGGAAGGGAGGGGGAGAGAGAGAAACATTGATGTGAGAGGGACCCCACCCACTGGTTGCCTCTGGAGCAAGAACCCCGTCTGAGGCCAGGCACCAACCGAAACCAAGGTATGTGCCCTTGACCAGAATTGAAAGGTGACTCATTGGTTGCAGGCAGACGCTCTAACCACTGAGAAAACCAGCTAGGGCTTTTAAAAAAATCCTTATCCAGGATATTTTTTTCATTTATCTTCAGATAGAATGGGAGGGAGGGAGAGAGAGACACACATCAATGTGAAAGAGACACACTGATAGGTTGCCTCCAGCATGACCCTGACCAGGACTGGGATTGAGCCCGCAACCCGGGCATGTGCCCTGATGGGGAATCAAACCGAGACCTCTTGGTCCATAGGACCACACTCAATCCACTGAGCCACAAGGGCTGGGCATGGCTGGCAGTTTAAACCTTATGTTCTATTAAACATCCTTGCATGATTTTAAGGAAAACTATAAGAAATTGGAATCTCTAAACCCTGGGATAGTGATTATGCACTGTTAGTGCTCATCCAGCTAAGAATTTGGCATTCAGTAGTCTATTGTCTCGGGAGTTTAGAATGGTTGGATGTTGGAAGATAGATTTTTTTATCCTCACCCGAGGACATTTTTGCATTTATCTTCAGATAGAATTGGATGGAGTGAGGGAGGAAGAGAGAGAAGCATCGATGTGAGAGAGACACACCTAGTGGTTGCCATCCACAGGACCAACCCGGTGGGGGACAAACTGCAACCCTTAGCAGGAACCCAACAGGGATCCTCCACACACACTCTAACAGCTGAGCCAAACCGACCAGGGCGGAAGATCGAATTTTTATTCCCATTTAGCACTGTAGAGCCCAGAGACAAAATAATTTACATTTTCTTGGAGTGTTGACAGGAAAGAATGATGCTTAATAAGTTTGGGAAATGAGGAAGTCTTAAAATCCAAGAAAAATATGCAATAGAAAACATTTATTTCTAAGGAAACAAATTAACCTGATAGAAAAGCCTCTCCAGATCAAAGAAATATTCTATCTCCGGTAACACCTTAACTTTACCTTTCTTAAGGTTGAAAGTATTTTGAAGATACCATTTTTTAATACACACTGTCTTAAAAAGAGAACTCTCGAATGTGTTGCAATAAATGGTGGATTGGAGCCCTCAGCAAGAATAAACTAGAACCTGATGTATAGGCCATGCCAGATAAGGAACTAGACTAGATCCCAGAAACAGAAGGTAGACCTTTCTCCTTCATCTTGCTACCTAGTGCTGAAGTGTTAGACCAGCAACATTTGACACGGAACCAAAAGCAGACCGCAGGATTTAGAATTGCACTTCACAGGCGAGGAAACTTGACTTCAGAGAGGTGGCTGGTGGAGCACTTTCTGGAAAGACTGTTATGTAACAGCCAGAACGGCTTTCCGAAGAGAAATGGCCTGGAGCTAAATGAGGAGAGAACTCTAGGCCTTGC